TTAAAAGAAAAAAATGAATTTGAGATTTTTAAAAATGTAACAATCTTATAATCTATGTTCTCAAAGAGTAAAATAACAAGGAAGGCATAGTCTGAGGCCAGCAGCTCAAACTGCAGTGTGGGAGAAATGGCCCTCACCTGGCTTCTGACCTGTACCTGATCTTGGCTTCTCATTTAATGAGCTGTCTCTCTTGTGTAAGTCCGTGAGGTTGTCTCTCATTTGTAAAATGGAGAAAATAGCAACTCAGTTTCACGCTGAGATAATGCTATAAATGCTTTTAAGAAAACCTCAAGTAAAGTATAAATGAGGACCAACATGTGTAATAGATATTGTGAAACAGGAAGAAAATGTTCAAATGGGGAGGGGAAGAAGGGAGGGGGAAGGGGAAAGGAAAGAAGGAAAAAGTAAAAGAAATGAGAAAAGAAGGAAAAAATGGAAACAAAGCTTTTGTAAATGTGGAGGGAAGGAGGGCTTGGAGGGAAGGTAGGAAAATGGGAAGAAAAAAAAACAAGTTATATCAGATACAGGTACAAATTCTCTATGAAGAATGTGGTCATTATGTATACCTAAAATGAACCAATAAAATATGATTGGAAAAGAAAAAAAACCCTCAAGTGCCGTACAATGAATACACACAACCCTCAAAACATCTACATTGCTAGGATTATTACTTGCTCAGGGTCCCATAGACTGTTAGAGCTTTTTCCTACTAAGTACATTTACATAAATGCATAATTATTATTCTTTTCCAGAATATGTGTGCTGTTAGGAGCCCTCCTACCTTTTGGTTATAGACCCAATGTGTCTGCTGATTTTTCTAGCTCAAATTAGGCTGTTAATGCAAACTCATTAGTTTTATGCATATAGAAAGCCAGTGGGAAAAATAGTATTTTTAAAACACTCCAACCTATTTACTTTAATAGACGCAGAAAGAAAATCAAGGAAAGAGAAGAATAAGAGATAAGTTTCTTTCACAGGGAAGAACCAGAGATACTCACCCAGGCATACCCCCAGCCCATTTTTACCCTTTCTAATTATAATTTGTCAAGAGAAGACATTCTATTTAGGTAGTTCCTAAAGGCTTAGGGTGGGAACAGCAAGCAATAGAAGCTAATTTTACAGTGTAGGAAAGTTAACATGCTAAGTTCAAAGTTTTGCTAATTAAATGGAAGACACTGACACAATATTAAATGAATTGGAGATGCCATGTACAAACCCTTCTAGTCACTTTTTTTACATTTCAGTCACAATTCATACATTATAATAATTTCAATGAAATCCCCTGGTTTTTAGAAAAGGCTGGCCCAAAGCCAATTTCTTGTGCATACCAGAGCATAAAAAAACAATTATGAAAGTGCTATTTTTTTTTCTCCAAAGGGGATCGCTAGAAAACCCTAACATTATCATTCCTCTAGAAATCTTTTAAAATTAGCAACAAATTAGGGGTTACATTGCAGTTTTTTTTTCTTTATGACCCCAAATTTTAAAGCTTTACTAACAAGGACATTCAACTTTTCAGCTATTCTAATTCAGAAGCTCTGCGCCCAGGCTACACAAAAGGTGTATCTGGGAACGTGATGATGATGATAATGATGATGATGATGACAATATCCTCACACCAATGCAGTTGAGTGGAACAAAGCTCCACCTGGCTAGAGGACCAGGAATGAGTTATCTAATTGTTCTTTGCCATATCTGAGTGTCACTCTGATTCTTTGCTTCCCCTCACGCACCAGACATCTAACCGTCGGGGCTGGTGGAATCCCTCAAGTCTGCCAACTGCTTCTGCACCACCATGGTGAACTGGGGCCACTCTCTCCCCTGCCTTGGCGCACGCAGCGGCCTTCTTATTGGCCTCCCTGTCTCTTCCCGTCTCCCACCTCTGAGACGCCTAAGGGAAAATCTGACCACCTGTGCTTTTTCCCACAACATACATTCACGTGTTTCCCAGGTCCTCCACGAGCCTTGCCAGAAAGTGGATTTTCAGACCTTCACTTGTAAAATGAGAAGAGTAACACTTCACTGGATTGTGGTAAGGATTAAATGTCATGATATAAAGAAAACTATTCGTTTAAGTAAAGAGAACTGTAACAAGTGTAAGAAGTTATGTTCATGGGAAATTTAATTTGCCAGACAATTGAGTAATCAACTAAAGGAGTTCAATATAATTACTTGAGTAATTAAAATGATTGAATGCATTATACTGGAGGTTTCGAAGATTTATACAAGTTGTGGTGATAAAGTGGCCACATTACTCTTTCTATATACTAGATAGCAGATGTTAATATCCAAATCAGGGCATACTTGGAATTGTGACTTATGCAGCAGCAACCAATAATGTCTAAATATTAGTTTATTCATAATCTGCATGGATTTGGTGATATATACACAAAGCAATAGACTAGAAATCTGCATTTTCAAAAGATATCTAAACAGAGCTTGTCATAGTTTCTTTACAGAAAACTAAAATGAAATGCCAACATATCTGATGTTTATCAAGAGTAGAAATCATCAAGGAGACCATCTCAAGTAAATAAATACTCAAGAGTAAATAAGTAATAGTTAATATCCAGTGAGTAATTATAGCCATGTAGTAGAAAATGTTTGGAGTTTTATTCACCCCATAGACAATTCTCTGAGTTATCAGAGACATGTACTGTGCCCCTGAACTAAAATAAGCCTGTAATGGAAGTGTTCAATAAAAATGGAAACAGAAGACCAGATTTTTTCAGAAAGAGAATAAAGTAATGAAAATGACAGCATATAACATGTTAACCTATTTGAAAAAGTTCTAATTGCTTAGTGGATCATGTCACAGGTATTCTGGACTTTAATGAGGTGAGATTCATAACACAGGAAGAAGATAACAGAATAGGCATTACTTTTCCTAGTAGGATAGTCATAGGCACACAGCAAGTGTTCCCTAAAATCAGATGGTTAAATTAATTAGCAAACAGGATTCAGGGTGCTTTCCTGTGACCATTACTATCATCTCAAATACCTTTCGCTGTACATGCTATTCAAAAATAATCAGTCCCAATATATATCTTAACCATCTTTCCAATGAACTCATATATTCATATTGGATATAAGTAAATATATGTGTGTCATAATAAAGTATGAATTACGAAGCATTTCACAATCCTTCCTTTTCCTAGAACAATCTTTGAAATATAGTTCCCTGGTGTTGAACAAACTATGCAGGAATTTTGAGATATTGGGACTTATAACTTTATGCTACTATAGGAGAGCAGACATGAATAATCGATCGTGGTTCTCTTTCCCACTAAACCTAGAGTTTATGCTAATATCAACTTAAACAAGGTATTCTACATATCACCTGTTACCCAATTCATTGATCCATTTAGCAACGAGTAAATTTTTGCTGTATGCCAGACTGCACTGGGGAGGCACATTGTAGACAGAAGTAATTAAGAGATACGGACCTTGCCCTCTGGAAATTAGATTAACAATGGATCTGACACCAAAAGTAATAGTTGTTTGCCAGATTTTCTCTGTGTAGGTGAAATGGAAATAATTCTAAATAGCTAAGTGAATTCTCTTCTTTGTAAAAGAGGATTGGTGTGAGCAGGCTCTGTAATCCCTACCTGCTGGGTGTATAATCCTGGGATATTTATCGACTATTGTACAAGTTAAATGGAAAAAGAAGTGAACGTTACATTTTAGGAACAAAAGAGATGGCTTCTCTTATTCATACACGCGTCTACTTGCAAGGTGGACTCTATCAATGACGGAGAAAGACTTACGTGAGTCCTAAGACTCATCATGAATCTGATTTAAAACACTGTCTAGTTGTCTTACTTCAAAAATTAAAAGAGAATTCCACCAAAATGTTAAATGTATGGTACTACCTCCATGCAAAGACCTTGTTCTTTAACTCAGCAGAAGCTGGACACAGGGTGGATATTTTTATTCATGCTGATAGCTGGTTGTCTTGTTTTTAATCCCTACTAATTTTGCTTTTATATTCTCTAGATCCCCCTCAACCAGTTTTGGAAACTAGAACTAAATCAGAAAGAACACGACAAGCCACTTTTCTCATTCTTTCTCAGGGGTCCATTTCTAGCATCAGCTTATATTCTTTTAAGGACTTTGCATTTATTCTCTTTGAGTATTACTTCATATATTCATTCTCTAAGAATAAAATTAGAATGAAAATGATTAATTTTTCCCTTTTGTCTTTTCCACTATACACTAGTATGTGCCAAGTCTTATAGCATTATAACACATGCTTAATGAATATGAAATAATACACTATTATCAGTGGGAATCGGGCTGGGGATTTAGCTCAGCGGCAAAAGCGCCTGCCTGGCAAGCGCAAGGTCGTGAGTTCGGTTCCTGGTACCGGAGAAAAAAACCAAAATAAATAAATAAATAAATAAATAAATCAGTGGGAACCAATTTTGCAATTGCTAGGGATAAGAGCAATGTTGCATATTAATTTAGTACAAAAATTGTGCTGCATGTGTGTGTAGTGATGAGGATTAAAGCCACAGCCTCAAACATGCTAAGCACTCTTGCACATGTAAGTGTTCTACTACTGAGCTATATCCCTAGTCCAGAAAAAAAACCAATATTTTATGATCTAACACCTGAGAATGCAGTTGTGTTAAAGGACCAAAATCTCATATCCTATTTTGGGCTTTCTAATGATTAAGAATTAGAACTAAGATCCTGTCATTCATTATCTATCCCAGTGTGTACCAGATACTGCTCTAGATGTTGTGGGTACACTGTGAAATACACAGACACACATCTGTCCCCTAGCATACGATTTACTGACTGGGACTTTAAAAAATTCTAGTTGAAAGTGACACCCAAGAAACGTAGTAAAAATGCATTCTGTAAATTTCTACATCTGCGGTGCAATCTCTTTCCTGGGCTTTCCTCAGGAAAGCCACTGTACCAAAAGATCAGGGTTGATGTATGATCCCACTACCAGGGAATAGCAATCAGAATATAGAAAACAGAAATCTTACCACTAATAAATATATAGATCGTAGTTTCTCTTTCCTTCTCGTCTGAAGTAGAGTTAGGCACATATTTGCAGCCGTAGAAGCCGCTCTGGCTTGCCTGAGCTGAAGTCAAGGTCAAAGTACTGCAGAATTGTTCGCCGGCCGTTCCACAGGTAGAATTAGTTATGCTCAGCTGTGTGTGTTTCTCACTCACAGTTTTCGGAAAAGACCACGAATGGGGCACTTCACCCCTGCGGTTGCAGATAAGAAAACAAAGCACAATCAAGGCTGGGACCAGGACTTAGCACCAGTTCCTAAGCATCCATTTTGCCAATAGCAAACGCTACTCTGAGGTTCTCTCTTAAATTTAGCCATCATCCTCTTTCCAGGAAAAAAAATATGCTTTTGTTTTTTTCCAATTTTTATTTTTTATTAGCACATGTTCACATTATTAACGATTACCTTCCTTGTAGGGAGCTGGTACATGTGCATGACACATCTTCATTCTTTTTTGCCTCTATATATGTTGGTACCAGGAATTGAACTCACGACCTCACGCTTGCTAGGCAAGCACTGTGCCACTGAGCTACCTCCCTGGCTATCTTTGTTCCTTTTTCATTCCCTTTCCCCTCCCTTCCCTTTCGTCTCCTTCCATCTCTTAATCCACTTTCCTTTTGAATACAATTTATCTCACTACTTCTTACTACCTGTCTTTTATTTTGCTCTTAAATTACATGTTGGATTTCTCATATAAGATATATCATGTGGTATTTAAACCTGCGAGTCTGATTTCTTTCACTTAACATCATGGTCTCAAGGTGCATGCATTTTACGGCAAATGACTCAAACGCATACTTCTTTATGGCAGAGTAGTACTCCACTGTGTATAAATACCACATTCTTTTTTTCTATTCATCTGTTGATAGACAAATTGGCTGCTTCCTAGATTTAGCTTTATGAACTGTGTTGCTATAAACACGGGTGTGCCGGTATCAGTAATACTCAGATTAAAGATACAGAAAGCTTTGGGCATTATCATTCCCTAACTGCCTCCTAGGTGAGTAATGCTGTCTCCCACTCCCTGGGAACCACCTTTCATGCGAAGCTGGCTGCTGGCAGCTGCAGACTGCAGATCCCAGGAGACTCTCAGGTCTCTAGCTCTCTACTTGGAAGGCATCCTTTCTCCTCTGCCAGTGGATGAACGATTTTTGCCTTGGGAAAGGCAACTAGATTGTTCCAAAACCAACACAGCCTCTTACCTGCATGTGAGATGTAGTGTCTGGCCTGCTTGCAAGACGTACTGGGTGCCTTTTAAATTCAGTTCAGGAGCTTCTAATTTAGAACCTGAACTAGGTCCTGGAAAACAAAGTATTATAATGTATTATTTGCAAATTGCCTTCGCAACTTTTTTAATGCAGCACAGACATTGAATACAAGTTTCCCTTAATTCACAAAGTTTTCTAGTTCAACTCCCATTCACAAATATTATAGTTGCTTTATATCACATAACCTAATATGATACTGTCCAAAAGCACGTCGATTTAGAACAGTAAAATGCCACCATCTTAATACAAAATAACTTATTCAAAACTTTTGAGATTAAATGTCATCTCAAGTATATTTCTAACATTGGATTTCTTTATATCAGTGTGCATTATCTGGTGACACACGCCTGTGTAATCTTTTTTTTTATAAAAAGGAAATTTTATACTGTACCTCATAAATAGAATTATTATATATAAATGTAACTCTTTAGTTGTTTAAAATGGAAATGCTAACCATCCTGATTAGATCATTATATATCATACACATGTGTCAGATTATCACACTCTGCCCCATAAACATGTACAATTAATAATTTTCTGTAACTCAGTCATTAGTTAAACAATGATATTTTTTAGATCAGTCATTTTTCTTTCAAGCTAATTTCCTCATTTGGAAAATTAGTTTTAGAATCAAAGTCAGCTTTAGAAGCCATTGGTTTGTCTTACATAATCTACAGATTCTTTCTAAAGAGGTAGTAAGGAGGGAATTGGTCACTCTTATGTGACATTTGACAAGCCTATCTCACAGGGGCTTGCTGTGAAGCAGTGAAATAGGTCTGCAAAAGTGCTTTAAAATCTGCACGCGTCTTTATACAGCACAGTAGTGGTACCATCCTAATGAGAAGCTGTGTGACCCTGGACAAGTCACCCCACTCTCTACTCCTCAGTTCTCTTATCTGTAAAACAAGAGACTGGACTAATGCTCTTGGGTCTCTGGCCATCCAGTGTGACCGTCTCAATCCCATGATCCTTTGAGATAAAGGCCCTACAGGGGTTGAATCTCCCTTGAAGCTCTCACCGACCACTCAGAAGACTACTAGTAAGGATCCTCATGCCTTCTCCTCATCCTCACCCTCGTCCTCTTCCTCCCCTCTCATCCCTTTTCCACCTCCTCCTCATCCTACAGAGATGGCAGCAATATCTGCTGAAAGCAGGAGACGGGGCCCAGGATCAGTGATCCTTAGCAAGAGTACAGGTCAGGGGAGTGGATCACCTCCCCTTCTTCTATCAGAGAATATTTTGCTGCCTATGTAATTGTTAAGAAGAATGTGAAGTTAACATTATATACTCTTCCAATGTTGCAATGGTATAAATTAATATTTTAAGGTAACATATAGACAATAGGTCCTCAAATGAAAGCACTACTGAACTAGATAAAAATGGCTCAAAATTACTAATTTAAACTCAAGTCACCATTTCATATTGATCCAATTGGTCTGTCAAAAAACTCCAAGCAATCTGAGAGTGTCTAGTCCAATCACTTGTTTTACAGATGAGGAAACTGAGGTCTGGAGAGAGAGGTGACTTGTGCAGGGTCACAGAGCTACTCACTAGGATGACGCCACTACTGTATTATATAAAGACATATATAGATTTTAAAGCACTTTCCACTGTTTGCCACGGTAGCCTAAGAGACCTGATTTAAGAGAATGATTTTCTATACTAATGAACGATTTCATCACTTTTTAGAACAAGTCACCCCACTGAGGTATGCATTTCGTACTTTACTTATCTTTAGGAATTTTCTAAGGCATTATGTAGCTCAAAATCAGTAGGTTTTTCTAAAGCCACAGCCAGCAACTGATAATACCTATCATGAAAACTTTACAGGCCAGAAGAATTTCTACTCTTCTTTATGGTATGGAACTCTGCAGACTTAATTGAGCAATTGTTTCTATGCTAGGCAAGACCGACAAAGCTTCCTGCAGAAAATTCTGGCACTGTTGGTAGTTAGCTCTGTGGTCTGGGTGGAGACGATCAGTCCTCCAACCAGGACAACCTTGGGGAAGAATCTTGCATTTTCATAGCTTAGATACCTGATGCTTTCCTTTCCAAATCATGTGACTGTTTATCAGCAATTTAGAACACCGTACTCCTAGCTCAGAGAATCTGTAACCTCAAAGAACTAAGCCATGTCCAGATAAGAAAAGTAGTATAATTCCTTAAACAGAAGGTAAGCCCTCCTAAAATTTTTTTCTGCACCCTCATACTGGCCTCCAGTGCAAAGACAACCTGAGTGGTGAGAAGACATTAGTGTGGACTAATTGTCTTTAAAAACCAACATGTGTGTTATTTCAACATTGAGGCTTTCTACTGATCCTATGTGAATATTCATTGTTTTTCTGTTGTGTGTTGTCCAGTACGTACAATAGAACTTTATAACCAACAAAAATCCCATCTTTGCTTCTTCACACGCCACATGGCAGGTAGAAAGCCACCTTTGATTTCCCACCTTCAGTCTTTAGGCAACATGGAAAGCTATTGTTTCTTCAATAGGAAGAGTAAATTTCCAATCAAAGAAGGCTTTGTTTCACAACCAGAATGAAAGCCCAGTGATTAAATCTCTTTCTTCAAAAGCTCTTCAAAGCCACTGTGATGGATACTAAAAGAATGAATTCCAGCAGAAGTCATTAAGAACCAGACAAACTTGGTGTCACTTTGAGGGCTCAAAGATAACTCATGAAAAGACTAGAAGTATCTTTAGGGAACTATGTTTATCAATCTAAATTGGTTTTTGCTGGCTGAATGCAACTTCAGGACAAGTCCCCTACCTCCTTTATCTACTAGCTGTCACTCCTGTGCCCCTACTATATCAAAACCAAAAGGTTATTTTCAAAGGAGCTTTAACTGAGCATGAAAAACCAGTCTGGTCAACAATGGACCATATAAATGATGGTGGTCACACAAGCCTAGTGACGTCACAGCCATTCTCTGTTTATGAAAGTATTCTCTACGATGTTCACATAATAAGGAACCTGCCTAAGATGAATTTCTCAGAACATTTTCCTGCTGTTAAGCAACCCATTGCTGTGTAAATCATGAAAAATCTGTTTTCCAGTTTTTGATTTAAGAGTCATTTCTCTCTGTAGCTCTGCTACTAACTAGTTCTCTTGTGGCCATGGGAAAGCCATTCTAAACCTCAGCTTTCTTATCTCAGTGGAGGAGGTAGACATACATTTTCATAATCCCTTCCTGCCTAGGTATTGTCTGAAATCACAGCCATTGACAACAATATACAAGATAGAAATAACATTTCAAAAATATAGCTAATGAGAAGACAGCCCAATTTTAAAAATTGAGTAAGGACCTAAATAGACAGTTTTCCAAAGATGTACAAATGACCAATGAGCACAGGAAAAGATGAAGGACATCCTTAGTCATCAAAAAAAATGAATATTAAAAACAAAATAATGTACTACTTCATGTCCACTAGAATAGCTTAAATAAAAAGGACAATAATAAGTCTAGTGAAGGATGTAGAAAAATTAGAACCCTCATATACTGCTGGTAGGATTAAAGAGTAGTACAGCCACTTAGGAAAACAGCATGGCGGTTCCTCAGATGGTTAAACAGAGTTAATCATAGGTTAAACTTATGACCCAACATTTGTACTCCTAGGTACCTCCCTGAGAGAACCGAAAACATACACCCACTTAACAACCTGTACACAAATATACACAGCAACATTACACATAATAGCCAAAAAGTAGAAACAACCCAAATGTCTATCCACTGGTAAATGAATAAACAAAATTGCTGTATCCAGATACCTGAATATTGTTTGATAATAAAGAGGAATGAAGTACCAACACATGCTGCAATGTGGACGAATCTTGGAAACAGAGGAACAGCCATGTGAGGTCACAAACCTGCTGGCACTTTGATCTCAAACTTCCCACTTCCAGAAACAAAGAACAGCCACGAATTAATGCTAAGTGAAATCAATCAGTCATGAAGAGCTATATATTGTACAACTCCATTATATAAAGTATCTGGAACAAGCAAACCCACAGAGGGAGAAAGTAGACTAGGGGTTGGTAGGAGCTTGGAGAGGAGAAGGGAGAATGACTTATAACGGGTTACTTTGGGGTGAAGAAGTGGTTTTAAAATTGGATAGTGGTAATAGCTGCATAATTTTGAACATGCCAGAATTCACTGTTTAATTCAATATTCTGATCTCCTCCACTCGTACGTGGGGGATCATATTCTGGTTTCCCAGAGACTAGCATTACATTTCATCTCAATAGAAGCTTTTATCTAAAAAACTTATGACTAAAGTGATCACAGACTTACACCGAAGCCCTGAAAACCTGAGCTATCTTAAAATCCATTGACACATAGGACTCCATCAGTATTAGGTTCCACCCTAATTATTTTTCTGTCTTCTTGAAGTTTTAGAAGACGGACTTGAGAAAAAGTTTTCCTTCACATTTAGTAACATTATTTATGTAGCAGTTTTACATATATTCAAAAAATTCACTATCTTCATTACAACCTTTTAAATTTAACTTTGAAGTTGAACTATTCAAATGAGAGTTCTTTAGTACACGTTTGTGGTACACAGTGAATATACTCATTGTGGGTGCACGTACACGACACACCTTTATTCTTTTTACACCTCCTTTTCCTCACCCCTCCCCCTCCCAATATTTCTCAGTGCTCTTCCCAAAATTGAGTCACTTTGTCAATTATGTTGCTAGAGCTCTCCGAAGAAATCTACTGACGCTTCCTTTTATAATAAAATTACTGCGGTCTAATTTATTAGTTTTTAACCCAAAGCTTTGTATATTAGATTTATTTTACACGAGAAGCATCTGTCTTTGATTTTGCATACTGTGTTCTCAATAGCACATAATCCTATATGATAAATAACCTCTTTATCCAAATATTCTTCCCCCAAGGATCATGTTTCTAAAATTTGAATTGAAGACTGTGAGCCACTTACCAAGGTTGTTTGAGGTCGAACATAATTCATGATGAAAGATTCCTGCCTCAAGATGTAGCTTCTTAAAAGCTTAAATCTCATACACT